ACATGAGGAAAAGACTGATAGAATGTGACACAAATCAAGGTCTCATATAGCTCAACCACAGCTTTCATGCTCTTCCCCTCATTCTCAGCCCATTCAATCAATTAGAACACAACAACAACAACAACAACAGCTTAAAACTACCAGCATACAGGAATTCAGAAACAATAATCACAGCAATTCTCAGGAAAATTCACCACTTCTTTCCAATTCCAGTTTCCAAGAAATTGCAGCCCTAATTTGGAAATCTCAAAATGAAACTTCAGGTATGAGAAGGCTCACAAATTTCTGGTATGTTCAAACAATTATAAATGGAATGATATGTGAGAGAAGCATTAAACAAAATTAAACTGAACAGAAAATTAATGTCACAAACCGAACATTGGGAAACGGGGAGATTACAGACCAGTACAGATTTCTCAACATTCCGGAGTATATCCTTAGCATGTTAATCCTGTGGCTGCTTATATTTCAATATTTATTTATTTATTATTTTATTTAACATAATTTTATACAACTATCTATACAACTCTGGGTGGGGAATATCATAGAACATTAAAAACAGAACCAGCTTTCCAATTATCATGTATCATGTTTTGATTTTTCATTTTTAATGCAGTTTTATTTGTAGTTCTGGTCTGTGACCTATAATAAAATATTGATTGATTGACTGATTTATTGATTATGTGATTGACCGAAATTGAACTCAGTAGAATACTAATGACAAAAAAAAGGAACATGGAGGAGAGAGAAGGTCACACTGCGTTTCCCGACATTCAAGAGCTTATCCTTAGCATGCAAATCATGAAGTTGCTTACATATCAATATTTATGTATTTATTTATTTATTTTAGCATAATTTTATAGCAACTCCCTATACAACTCTGGGTCTGGAATTTCATAAAATATTTTTTAAAAAGCAACTTTCCAATTGCTAAAATCAACTGGAGAATCACAGTTGCAGTGGCAGCAGCTGCAACTGGGAGATGGCAAAGGGGTATAGGTCTTCAGTTTGGGATCTTACTGCCTTTGCATGGCTAAAGTAAAAGAAGGGAATAAAATTCTAGATCTTTCAGTGTTTTCTTTGTCTTAGTTGCTGCTTGCTATTCAGTTCAGGCCTCAATATGATGATATAGCATTTAGGGAAAAAGATGCATACAAGGAGCCCCCCACTGGACATTATGATGGAGAAGATCTCCCCAGCCACCATTTGTTTCCCCCCTGTGGTCAGATAGCTAGGGACAAAGGAGAGCCAAACGCTGCAAAAAATCAACATGCTGAAGGTGATGAATTTGGCTTCATTAAAAGTGTCAGGTAGTTTGCGGGCAAAGAAAGCTACAGTAAAGCTGACAAGGGCTAGGAGGCACATGAAGCCCAGGACACAGTAGAACATCACAAAGGAGCCTTCATTGCATTCCAGAACAATTTCTTCTGCCATTAAGTGCACGTTGAAATCAGGGAATGGAGGAAAGGTCAACAGCCAGATGGTACAAAGCACTATTTGAATAAAGGAACAGAAAACTATGATGGAAATGGCCAATCTTTTCCCCACCCATTTCCTCATTGTAGATTTTAGTTTGGTGGCCATGAAAGCTAAAATCACAATGATGGTTTTTGCTAAAACACATGATACAGCTACAGTAAATATTATGCCAAAAGCACTTTGTCGGAGGAGACATGTTATTTTATGGGGTTTGCCAATAAACAGTAAAGCACAAAGGAATGAAAGCAGAAGGGAAATGAGAAGGGTGTAGGTGAGGTTTCGGTTGTTGGCCTTGACAATGGGAGTGTCCTGGTACTTGATGAAGATACCCAAAACCAACAATATGGTCAAAGAAGACAAAAGAGAAGAAATGGCCAAGATGGTCCCCAATGTTTCCTCATATGTCAGGAAAGTTACAACTTTTGGAAGACATGAATTCTGACCCTTATTTGGAAACTGAGCTTCTGGACATGAAAAACAGTCATCCATATCTATGGGGAAAAAATCGGGTTAGAAAGATGGTTGCACTGAAATTAAACTGAAAAATCAGAATGGAACAAAAGAATGTCATCAAGGTTTGGAAAAAATAGGAAATAGTTTTGAAGATAGACTCAGTCAAATATGGCTCCAATATTTTTTTGCTATATAGATATAGTCTTCCTTCATTGACCCTTCTCATTTTTAAAAAGGAGGAGGAGATGAAAGAATGTTTAATATAGATGTTTTATCTCTCTGTGCCATTACATCTATATTTATATTTCCATAGAATTATACATTCAGATACATTCCTGTTTCATCTTCTTTTTCTCCACTTTTTGTTTAGGTAATATTTGGGGCTGTTTCTACTTCAAAACTACTTAGTGATTTCCATGTTGTAGAAATAGAGGTCTCATAATGCTGAACAAGTCCATTTAGCTCCCCCTGGCCTTTTTTTAGACCCAACACTTGACAACACCTTCCTGATCTTTGCTAATCTTCAAAAGTTTAAACATGACAGGCCAACGTAGAACTTGGATGGCAGTCCTCCAGGAATTCCGAACGTTGTTGTCTATAGTGTGAAATCAAAAAATATTTTTCAGAATGGCTAACTGGTAGCATATTCTTGCAAATCATTATGCTCCTATATGAGTAAGACTGAATTGGAGGAACAAGGCTTTAGAAGGTTTGGCCTTGCCTTCAGGAGCCAGCAGCCTATGTGATATTTGAAGATGTGACTCAGAAAAAGCAGGACCAGTTGGAGGATGACCTGCAGTTCTGGAGCAGTCAGGTAATCCACTATCGATTGCAAGCAGAACAAGAGCAGGCTTAGTTACCTGATGCTCAGTCCTTGCAAGTGTAGAAAATTAGAGTAGAACAAAACTGTTCAATGTTGCTTCTCCAAACAAAGAGGCTTGATTCTGGAAAATAAGCATGTCTAAATCAGAAGTATAAAATGAAGGCTTAGGAGTCAGGGTTCTGTTAACAAATAATTTTCCATCCCGAAACCCTATCACCTGAAGAGGTGCTGTTTTGGAGCCCCTGTCTGTCCTCTGGACTGGTAAAAGACAACTCTCAAATCTGATTCTTAGATCTTCACTGTCTGCATAGAACTTTGGCTGCTGAAAGAAGCTTGCTGGTTTCTCTTGAGCTCTTGCATTTGTGCACTGCTGTGAGGATGCCATAAAGATTTGTTATCTCAATCTGATCTCTTGAACCTGGAACTCCTGGCATAGGGCACTAAGAAAACCATATTGGCATGTCTTTCAAGTTAAGTTTTTCCAGAAGTAAAATTGAACTTGAAAGAGATTCTAATGAAAAGAATTTGAAAACATTATTGAAATATTTACAGATGTAATTGCCTTCAAGTCAGATTTGACAACTCCTTTAGCTTCATGGAAACTTTTTTGCAAATGGTTTGCCATGGCCATTTTCCTGGGGCTCAGAGGGAGTGACCAGCCAAAGGTCACACAGCTCTTGTGGCAAGATGGGACTAGAACTTAGATTTGCCCACTCCGAGTCCACTGCCTTAACCACTACACCAAATTGGCTATGATAATTGTGAAAGGATGAAGCAAAAATGCAGGTGATGAAAATATCAATAAAAGGAAAGAAAGGATGCAAGACCAAGAATGCCTTTATACATGGCACTAAGGCTGAAATAAACAATATGTGCAGTACAAGTGTTTTGGTCAGAAATTTTACAAGAAGCCAAAGAATAGCCTGTTCTTTCTCAGGACTCCACCTACTGTACATGGCAGAAAGTAGCACATTTCAGTGAGGGAGAAAGGAAGGCCTGTTCATGACAATGATTGAAATTTTAGTATGCTCCCCCCACAGAATGGTTATCCTGGATTTCTGAGAGGTGAGGCTTGTTTTGTTTCTCTCTGATGTATTGACATTTCTTTGTTTATACATGGCAGTGACACTGATTATTGACTGATTTTTTGCTACCAAATTGGTGTCAACTCTTAGTGACCACATAAATAGATATTCTCCTTGTAATCTATCCCTAAACTGGTCTTTAAGAACTTCCAACGGTGCATTCATCACCACTCTGACTGCAACTATTCACCTTGCTGCTGGGTGTCCTGTTCTTCTACTTTGCCAGCATTAGAGACTTCTCCAGAGAGCCAGGTCTTTGCAGAATGTCTTCAAAGTATGATAATTTGAGCCTGGTCATTTATGCCTAGAGTTAAAACTCTGGACTGATATGTCTGATGATCTAGTTATTTATTTTATTGACTGTCCATAGTATCTTTACCCATGTTCTCTAATACCAAAATTCAAAAGCATCTTTCTATCCTGCTTCTTCAAAGTCCAACTTTCCTTTCCATAGAGTGTCACAGGGATTACCATGACAACCACCATTTTCACATCACAGTATTTGAATATGTTTTCCAAGACTTTCATGGCTACCCTACTGAGGTCTAATCTGAGGCTTATTTTGTGACTTCTTGTTCCTTTACTATTGATGGTTGATCCTAAAGCCACAAGCTCTCCACCACTTCAATATCTTCAGTGTCAGTGCTTGGACAGTGACATAGTCCTTTGCATTTGTTCATTATTGCAGAAGATAAAACTGAAAGGACTCCTGTTACCATTCCTTGGTTAACGTGTATTTCACTGAATGTCATGCCTGTCAGTCATAATTGCATTTTTTTGGTGAGAAGTAAAAGTTATTATTTTTCCCCCTCTTCATTTAAAAGAGGAAGACTAGAGGTGTTTTACTTCGTAGAACCTGACATTTTCTTGAGTTTCTGTTTCCATAGAAGAAATAAATTCTGAAAGGCCATCCCTTTTTTTAAGCAAACATTCTTTTGAGATGGCGAAGGAAGGACTTCCATTCGCATTTATCCCTAATTCAGTTGCATTTCTTTTATCATCACTCACTTTACATAATTCAGTTTAGAAATAGCAAACAGGTTATGCTGAGCACAGGATTTGATCTCCAAACATGGCTTTCGGTGTGCAGAAGCACAAAAATATCTCCTCTCTCCATCATCTTAAAGCACTGTCTTTTCCTGGGATGACAAGACAGCTTGAAAATGTTGCAGATGTGTGTTATATTGGTGCTCAGGTACATTGTGAAGGAGTTGTAAGAGATTTAGTCTCTGCACAGCCTGACTATCAAACATCTCAGCATCCCACCATTGTCATTATGTGAGTCACCGAGAGACCTTTGGCTGCATAGAATGAATATCGACACCACCTAATTATTTTGCCATTCACCTAGCAGATTGGAAATCTTCCCTTCAGGACAGTGAAGACAATCATAGCAACAAAATGGCTTCCTTTCTATTTTGGTCTTAGTATAACCCAACTGGCAATAGTTATTACACAGAGAAAGTGGCCGGGCCTGCTCATATAGGAAAGAAAAGAATGTGTTGTTTTTTCTAAGACTGTGTTGTAATTAGTTATTCTCCATTTATGCTCCCACTCTGTATCAGGTTTGATGGGAAGTCTTGCAAATAACATCAGTGAAAGCAAGGAAGGGAGGAACATACTATGGGATTTATGACCACTCATAGTCTTGCCATGTAATTTAAATGATGCTAAGATAAAACCCTCCTTGAGTCAAGCTCATCTTGTGCTTAGCAAATACATATGTCCCTATTGCTGGCAATGGAATAGAAGTAGTTTGCCTTTGTCTTCTTTGTGAAAGATTTTTTTAACTTCCTACAGCCTTAGGATTTTCTAGTATTCTGCCAATGACTTGGCTTAGTTTCTTTCACTATCAGCAAAGATCAGTTAGATGGTGACCTCTGTTGTGATTTAAGATGATCTCTCCCTCTCCCTCTCTCTCTCTGATATGGATTATATACTGTAAATATCTTCACGGAATAGGTAGAGATATTTATCCTAATTTTTGGATTCATATTGGTTACAATGAATTTGTTCCCTTTTTCAACGCTATAAAGTCACTATATAAAACTTTGTTCATATGACTATGCTATTACCTCACTTGTCACTTTTTTTTAAACTTGGAGGGAGTATTGCCAACAAAATCTCCCTCCCTAAAACATTAATCAGTAGAAGGTTTCTCTGGCACATGTATTAGTACTTCAGACATGAGAAGACAAGAAAAATCACTAAAATATTCCACAGCTCACATCTATTCAGTTAACCATTGATAATGTGATCCTGGATTATCCAAACATCTGTTTTACCATACCTGGTTAAACCTAGTTGGCCAAATGATGGCTTCCTCATAGATCATTAACACGTCCTGTCGGGAAGTCACAGACCCTATTGCACCAACTTTGACTTTCTTGAAGGATTGTTTGGGAATGTGACCCAATTGATGACATCAAACCCAGCCTCTAGTTCTCCATTTTGGTT